CAGGTTGTTTCCACACTGTAATTTTCCGAAGTTCTGCCTGTGTATAACACTCAGAACGACAGGCGGATGCATATTACGGACTTTAATTTGTGGCTTGGGGAATGGTGTCGGGAGCAAGGATTTGGCTTCATTTCTCATGGTAGCTCTGTTTGGAAAAGAAATAAACTGTACAAAAAAGATGGTTTGCATTTTTCTCAAAAGGGAACAAAAGGGAACAAATGTTTTGCTAGAATGTATTTAAACTGGGGGTGGGGGGGAGAGGGGAGGGGAGCAAAGGGTTGATAAAACATCAATCCAATTGCTCCCCCCCAAAAAAAGAACAAAAGGTGCCTGTAACAAGTGTGTTAAAAATTATAAACTTAGAGTCTTGTCTACAAATACTCTCAGTTTAGAGATCCATGAACTTGTGGCAATAATGGCAACTGATAATGTAGTTTTAGTCGCTGTTACTGAGACATGGTATAATGAAAAAAATGACTGGGAAAGGGGAGGCAAGAAAGTGGGAAGGGTGGCCCTGTATCTGAAAGATAGCATAAAATCTAGCCTAATAAAAGTTAGTGAGGCGAACATAGAGTCCGTTTGGGTTACCTTAGAATTTGGTAATCACACAGTAACTCATGTAGGTGGGATTTAAAGGGCCACAGGACAAATAGAAGAGTTAGATAATCTACTAGTTGAGGAAATTGCTAAAATGACAATGAAGGGGGTATATCATCATGGGTGTCTTTAATCTTCCTGATGTGAATTGGAAAACCAAAATGTGCCAGGAGCACACACATTCTTAACTCTCTACTGGGATTGTCTCTAAAACAGGTCGTTGAGGAGCCAACCCGTAAAGAGGCCATACTAGATTTAGTGTTAACAAATGGAGATTTGGTATCAGATATTACTGTAGGGGAAAGTTTAGGATCCAATGATCATCAGTCAGTGTGGTTTAACCCCTTAAGACCGGAGGGCGTACTATTACGTCCTCTAATAGGCGGCTCTAAACGCCGCCGGGCGTAATAGTACGCCCTCCGGTCTTTCTGTACTTACCCGGTCGCCGGCGGTCCCACGCCGGCGATCGCGGTGGGGGGGACTCCCAGGGAGCCCCCCGCGGCACGACCGTCCTCCAGGAAGCCCCCCGGCCGTGTGAGAGTGGGGTCCTAGCGAGGACCCCACAATCACATGGCCGGGTATAGCTGGCTTCTGTATTGCCAGCAGGGGGGCTGCCTGTAATTACAGGGGGTCCCCCTGCTGGCTGAAAATAAAAGTAAAATAAGTTAAAAGTGTAAAAAAATAAAATTATATATACTTAGATCATATATATATATTATATATATATGATCAAAGTATATATATACACATATACATACACACATGTACACCGTCTAGGTGTATTTTACTATTAATATATATATAATTATATATATATTAATATCAAATTACACGTAGACTGATACTGATTAAATATATATATAATTATTGTTATATATATATTTATATATATTATAAAAAAAATTAAAATGTAAATACGTTAAAAAATAAAATTACAAAAATAATTAAAAATAAATAATTAAAAAATATATAGATGTGTGTTATTTCGTTCTAACTGTATTGTGAAATTAATATATATATATATATATCAAAATACACATAGAACGAAATAATATATATATTTATACACATAAATATATACGTATATATCACTATATATATACCTATATATAAATAAAAATATTTAAAAAAAATTATATAGATATATACATATATATACACATACGTATATATATACATATATTGATTCTACATATATATTTATGTAATATTTTTACATAATTAGGTATCTTAATTAATTACAATTAGCAGGACCTGCATGACAACCCATGCCGAAAGTAAAGGGAATTTAATTTGCTAGCACTATATTTAACCCTATAACTTTCCGAGACACCATAAAACCTGTACATGGGGGGTACTGTTCTACTCGGGAGACTTCGCTGAACACAAATATTAGTGTTTCAAAACAGTAAAATGTATTACAACGATGATATCGCCAGTAAAAGTGACGTTTTTTGCATTTTTCACGCACAAACAGCATTAAACGGACAATATTATTGCTATGATACTTTTTACTGTTTTGAAACACAAATATTTGTGTTCAGTGAAGTCTCCCGAGTACAACAGTACCCCTCATGTACAGGTTTTATGGTGTTTTCAAAAGTTACAGCGTCAAATATAAGGCTTGCGTTTCATTTTTTTCACATTAAAATTCGCCAGATTGGTTACGTTGCCTTTGAGACCCTATGGTAGCCCAAGAATGAAAATTACCCCTATGATGGCATACCATTTGCAATAGTAGACAACCCAAGGTATTGCAAACAGGGTATGTCCAGTCTTTTTTAGTAGCCACTTAGTCACAAACACTGGCCAAAATTGGCGTTTTTTGCATTTTTCACACACAAACAAATACTAACGCTAACTTTGGCCAGTGTTTGTGACCAAATGGCTACTAAAAAAGACTGGACATACCCCATTTGCAATACCTTGGGTTGTCTACTATTGCAAATGGTATAAAGTGCAAAATATAAAATGGTGGTGAGAGCACTCAAATCATGCAAATACAATATTTTACCAGAACTTTGTTTGTTGGAATGTCTAAAAAAACATAAAACACAGAAACATAGTATAATACTGTTTAAAATATGTGCAAAATGTTGTATGTGACTGGTTAAACTCACATATTTCTGAGTCACTTTAAAAGCTGACTCAGACTTAGGGCTTGTATGGAGATGAGAAATCTCTATTCTGGACGTCCTGTATCACACCTTGTGGATCCGCGCTGGTAGTATCCTCTAAAATTACTCCAGGATGCAGAAATCGAATCCAAATTGATTTATTATTAAAATACTTCACAAAATTAAAAATTAATAGTAAATACAGGTAAAATGTCCTTTGTGGTATACACAAAGGACATTTT